TCCTGTGCTGGGCCGTGTGGGTTTAGTGATGTCCCATGTCTCCTGTGCTGGGCCGTGTGGGTTTAGTGATGTCCCGTGTCTCCTGTGCTGGGCCGTGTGGGTTTCAGTGTTTCCTTTGCTTTTCTTTCTTCAGCCGTTTTCTTGGAACGATAAGGTGAGGGAGGAGTGGACGTTGACCAAATGCTCCTCCGTGCTGCCCTTCCTCGACAGAACCTGTCACACCAGGGAGGCCCAGGACAGGCACGCAGTGTGGCCTACCCCCCAGGCCACAGCTACCTCCGTTCTCCTGACTCACTCCTGCCCTGTCCACACCCTCTCTCATGTAAAACATTTTTTGTTACTCGGAAACTTCATGTCTGACCACTTACCCTGTTTGAGCTACAAACAGCAGTGCGTTTCCTTGAGTGACAACAGGGCCTTCTCTGTGTTCTCTCCACGTTCCTGTTCTTAGGAGCACCCACCTGTGTCTTTTCAGGTTATGAGTGAGAGGTGGCTGAGGTGTCCTGCACCCACAAACCTTGTGCTGCGGAATGTCTGTAAGCCAGACCTGAGCTCCCTCCTGCCTCCCTGCCACTCCCCATCTCCATGCCTGTGGAGCGTGCACTCCATTTCACGCTCTGGCCCCTCTGCCTGCTGAGCTTCTGTCCGGTGGCTGCTCTGCTGAGAACCCTCCGCCGGGAGTCACCTCTGACTCAGGCTTGTGCGATGTCCCATTTGGCTGTCCGTTTGGGAAGATTCAGCGGGTTACAAACAACCTTGTTTCATTTTGTTTTACATCTTTGTATTTGTTTTTTTGACACAGGGTGTCACTCTGTTGCCCAGGCTAAAGTGCAGTGGCACAGTCACGGCTCACTGCAGCCTCAACCTCTTGGTCTCAAGAGATCCTCCTGCCTCAGCTCCCTGAGTAGCTGGGACCACAGTTGTGTGCTACCACGCCCAGCTGATTTTTAAATTTTTTGTAGAAACAGGATCTCTGTATGTTGTCCAGGCTGGTCTCGAACTCCTAACCACAAGCAGTTCTCCTGCCTTGGCCTCCCTAAGTGATGGTCTCGCAGACATGAGCCCCATGCCTGGCTGAAACCATTTCTCTTTATGGTAGCAGAACCGTCCTCCTTTTCCTCCCTAATTCGTCCGCCAGGGTGCTAGAGTATATGTTTTAATGGAAATATAACACAATACACCAAAACGCACACATGGTAAGTTTTCAGTCTGTCGGACGACAGAGTGAGTGCGTGTGTAACCACCCAGTGCAGGCGAAGACACAGAACCTCACGGGTCACACAGGACCCTGTGGATGTCTCACTGCAGCCTGAGTGACACTTGTGTGTTCAGTCTTCGGTGAAAGGTGGCTCTCACTGTCTGGAAGCCGTCTCTCTTCATGGCTGGATGGCTCCTGTGATGCCCGTTGCTGTCTTGGTCGCCTCCTGGGGAGCACTCAGCTTGTTGACATCTGCCTTCCTGAACCCAGGGCCCTGCTCAGCGCCAGGCAGGCGTGTGAGCCAAGCCACAGCCGCTCCTGCGGCCATGCAGTTGGCCTCCCGGCCCCGTCCTGGGGCTGCACTCTCTTGGGAGCTGCTCCAAGCAGGCCCTGCCCAGGTACCCGAGACCAGTGTACGAGTCTGAGTGCAGGGCTCCGCGGCTCAGAGTCACCTTTCGCGAGCGACTCTGGCTTTGAGGATATCTCAGAAATCTCACTGGTCTCTGTTTCCCGGCCCTGGGTCATGTGAGGATTTCAGATGCATGCGTTTTTTTTTCCAGCCATTGACGGAAGTGCTGGGCTGATGGGGCTGGTACAGAGGTGGACGCCTTGGCCTCAGGCTGTGAGCCACCTGTGAATGAATGTGAATGAACTTGTCTTCAGGCACACGTTACTAGTGCTGTCCTCACAGAAACCTCGTGAAACCTTCTGGAGATACCTGAGGCCTACCCGCCTGGCACCGGAGGCTGTGAAGGCTGAGGTTGCCGTGGCCTGCCTGGCCTCAGCAGGTCCCTGGGCTGGCCACCGTGGTCATCGCTCCACCCTGCAGTGATGCCGTGTCGAGAGGCATGGGAGAGTGGGGTGGGCCCAGGACTCACACACGGCTCCCAGCCCTGCTGCTTTCGGACGTCCCCGCCTCTTCCAAGCTGCACCTGTGAAGTGCCTTTGACCTTACGAGGTTGCCGCGTGGACTGATGTAAATGGGGATGACGATGTGCCTCACCTGAGGCTGGTGTCCACGGTGCCAGCCGCCTGTGTGCCCAGGACGGTGTGCCAGGCATGGCAGACATGGCCAGGCTGCAGGGGGTGTGGGTGGCTCTAACGGGTGCTTCTCGCTGCCCAGGCCAGCTCAGAGCCTTGCCAGGGGTGCAGGCAGCTCTCATGGGTGCTTCTCACTGCCCAGGTCAGCTCAGCACCTGTTGTCTTCCCCCGTGTTTGGGATGGTCTCTGGCCTGGTAGCTTGTGGATGCGGGTAGACCTGGGCGGGGTATAGGGCTGCGTGAGGAGAGCATGAATGTGGACGGCGACTGTCTCCCACGTGCTGAGGCTCTGCCCAGGGATATGGGGTGCCCCGGATGCCCTGACCCGGCTCCCTGTGTCCCTAGAAATGCCTGGGGCTGCAGCTCGGTGAAGTGCGTCGTATCTAGGCCCAGATTGGTGGATGTCCCTCTTCCATCTGCCATTCCCAGTCCCAACTGCTGGTGACCCCAGCAGTGGCCGGATTATCTAGGGTTCAGCTGGCTGTGAGGAGGGCAGTGTGCTGCTCCCAGGCCCTGAGGCACCAAGCTTTCCAGTGTGCGGTCCACACAGCCCAGCGTGACCATGGCCACGTGCCTCCTGATGACAGCGGCTGGGCGGGCTCCAGGGCCTCCTTGGGGCAATGTGAGGGTGCCAGGCAGGGCTGGTGGTTGGCAGAGCTCAAGGCCGGGCAATGTGAGGGTGTCAGGCGGGGCTGGTGGTGGGCAGAGCTCAAGGCCTTCCCTTCACCCACAGGCATTGCACAGGGGTGGTGGGCAATGGCAGTCGCTCGGGTGCCCCACTGAGTGGGGCACCACACCAGAGGCTTGGGGGGCTCAGGTGCTCACACCTGCAGCCTCCATGGGAGCATCTGGAGCCTGGGTTTGACTCTGTTGTGGCGTCCAGAACCAGCGGGCACCAGGATGGCCCATGGGAAGTCCAGAACCTGGCTCTGGCTGGGCCTGTAGGGGAGCTTGGGGGCCCATGGTCTGCAGAGTGGACAGGCTGAGGATTATTGGCTGTTGCCTCAGCCACGTTCCCCAGGCTGTGTCCCCAGGGGCTGCAGTGCCTCGTTTTCTGTTTCTCCAAACATACTTCCCCCATCCCTGCCACATGTGCACATGCCACACACAGGTGTGCATATACGTACCCACACTTGCATACACGCACACACACACGCCTCCCCGCCTTGGTCTCTCCTGGTGACTTGCCCAGTGGTTTCTGGTTGCCGCTGGGCCAGGACTCTGCCTGCCTCTCGATTCCCCCTCATCCTCAGGCCTGCTGGGCCTCTACCCTGCAGATCCCACATCCCACCACAGCCTCCTGCCTCACTCCTAGGCTGGTCCTCCATCTCCTTCCCGGCCTTTCGTGTGTACTGTGGCCTGGGGGATCTCACAAGGCCCCCTGCCTGGCCCTTCTTCCTGGGTTCCTCTGTGCTGTGGCCTGGGGGGTCTCACAAGGCCCCCTGCCTGGCCCTTCTTCCTGGGTTCCTCTGTGCTGTGGCCTGGGGGGTCTCACAAGGCCCCCTGCCTGGCCCTTCTTCCTGGGTTCTAGGACAGAGTCACAGTGTGTTTAGGTGGTGGGGGCTGTCGGGAGCCAAGCGGGGTCATGGGAAGAGTCAGGAAGGGGCAGAGGCAGAGGATGTGGGGGAAGGCAGGAACCGCAGGGGCAGAGGCCCAGGGCAGGGGTCTCCGAGGTCCTGAGCCCCGTGCACCGTGCAGGTCGTGGGTGCAGGGTCACTGTCCCCAGCAGGAAGCCGGACTGCTGATGTCCCAGCACCACAACAAGGCCCAGCCTTGCTGTTCCATGAGGCCTGTGAGGAGGAGGTGGCTGGCTTTTCATTGCTGGCTTTTCTACCCTTACTGTGGGGTCAAGCCTTGTGCCCTTTGGGGAGTGTGTGGGGGCAGGAGACCCTTCCCGCCTGGGTCGGGGTCCTGCTTGGGGGTGGCTGTGGCGGCGGAGATGCTCTGAGGTGGGGCCTCTGCCAGGAAAGTCACCTGATTCTGTTCTTTAAGCATGAGCCTGCCAAGGAGAGTGAATTGAGTCCCTCTGATCGAAAGTCCCATGCTGAACCTTTCCCTCCGTCTTTCCCCAATTCCACAGTCCCTCTTGGGCCCACCCCTGGCCCCCCTATTCACAGTCAGTTTCCTGAGAGAGGTTTTTAGAATGGACCTCGGTTCCGTCAAGCCTCCCGCAGCCCACTCGGTCTCCATCTCCATCAGTGGGCTCTGGGCCTCGTGGGGCGGCCACACTGGCCCCTGACACTCCTCTGGCCACCCTCTGCCCGCTCTGTCTCTGTCTCCATCAGTTGGCTCTGGGCCCCACGGAGTGGCTCTGCTGGCCCCGCCCACCCTCTGGCTGCCCACTGCCCAGCTCCTGGGTCCCATTGCTCCATAGGGAGTGGAGGCTGCGGGGTGGTGGGGTTTGTGTTCCCCGCAGTCCTAGAAATGGGTCCTGGGCCACCCAGTCTCAGGCCGAATCCTATCTTGTCTTGCAGGCTCAGCTGTCGCAGGCCCTGGAGGAACTGGGAGGCCAGAAACAAAGAGCAGACATGGTGAGTCAGACACAGGAGTGGCTGGGATTCAGGACACCTGGACCCTGGGTCTGGGCAGGGATGCCTGTCCCCGTAAGCCCTTAGGCGGCAGGCACCAGTGCATGGCTGCCTCCTCTGTCGTTGGAAGCTGTGTTGAGGGGGGAAGGGTGTGTGAGAAGCCTGACTCCCATCTCTACCAGTGACAGGTGGCGCACGCCTGGGCAGAGCACAGCCTCTCGGGCCCCACCACCGTGTTTGTGGCAAGGGAGCAGTGACATGTTTGCCGCACGAGGCCGCGGTGTCAGAGGCAAAGCAGGTGTGCGAGCCCGCGAGGGGTCTGTAGCGAGCTAGGCATCGGTGCTGTGGCTTCGTGGACCCCTGTCCTGACCACACAGGACCCGAGTCCCTAGTGGGACAGTGCCTCAGCTGGGGCTCGGGTGTCACTCAGCATGGGTCCTGACCGAGAGAGGGACGTCTCCAGTGAGTGCTTTTCTGCCGTCTGTGAATGCGGCAGGTGTGCTTTTAAGCTGTTTTCTCCTCAGCCCACATCGGCCCCACTCTCGCTGGTTTGGCTGCCTCCGAGCCTGGGTGGGGCCACAGTGTGGGCCGTGGGGCGCCAGGCAGGCTCTCCTGGTTTCCGGACCTCCAGTGTTAAAAAGCCGCCCACTGTCGTAGGGAACAAATGGGCTTTGCTTCTGAGGCGTTTTGGCCTAAACAAAGTGTAGGTTCCGTCCATGCTGCCCTGGCCTTGGCCATGTCTGTGAAGGACACGGACGGCCCTGGGGCATGCGTGCGTGCGTGTGGCTGCATATTCTGTCCCAGGCCACGCGTCAGGCTCGCCTGGGTCGCAGGCGGAGCGGCTGTCAGCATTGTACGGACCCCAGGGCCTGCAGCCCAGGTCGAGGCTCCCATCTGGGCATCCTTGCTTGCCGGCTCGTGACTGGGAGCTGGTGTCCTGGCTCTCAGGGCCTCCACCTGGCAGGGGTGTGCCGAGGGTTCATCGCTTGACAGATTCTGGGACCGGCTGCACAGCCTGTGGCGATTGTGGCTGTGGCCATGGTTACAGGCCCTTCCCATAGGGCAGGGTCGAATGGGGTTGGAAATCACCCTCTTGAGAGGTACAGGCACCAGAGCCTAGGCTGGGAATGGGCGAGGGTTGTTTGCCGAGACCCTGGAAGAAGCTACCAGTGGCACAGAGAGGCAGCAGCAGGGCACCGCACGGGTCTGGGTCTGGGCAGAGCCGGCATCCGCAGGACCAAGGCCAGGCGGGCTGGTGACAGCTGCCTTGAGGCTCCAGAACAGTCGCTGTTCACTCAGCAGCTGCTTAAGGACATTCCTTTCAGTGCTGGGGACGTGGCAGCCAGCAACACAGGCTCCTGCCCTCTGGAGGCACACTGTTGCCGAGTGAGTAGTCAGTGGCCCATAGGAGAGTGAAGGACAGAACTTCCGGTGGTGGCAAACGCAGGAGCCACAGTTTCCCGGGGCCGTTCTGCAGAGCGTCCTGAGCCAAGCCTGGGGGACCCAACTGTTGGTGGTGGGAGTAGCGGGGCAGGCAGGGCCCGGGACCCAACAGCGAGCTTCGGGGTGACAGAAGCGGGGCCCATGGTGGTTGGTAGTCTGACCTTGTGGGCCCCGTGTGGTCACGGCAGGGCTGTGGTTTCGTGGGTGGAGTAGGTGATGACGCAACCTGGTGTCCATTCATAAAGGATGCCTGGCTGCTCTGTGTAGGGCCGTAGGGGGTGGGAACTGGCAGGGCTGGGGCTGGCCGGGCTGGGAGACACAGGTGCCCTGGCCTAGGACTGCAGTGGGGTGCGGAGGTGTGGTCCGAGTCGGCTGTGTTGAAGGGAGATGCGGCTGAGGTAGAGAGCGTGAGGGCCAGGAATCGAGGATGGCTTCAGCATTCTGCCCTGGGTAGGCTCATGGTATGGGGCGGGGAGTTGGGGGTGAAGTGTAGGAGTCTCATGCCTGCCACACGTTGGGTGCACAGGGCTGGAGGCTTTGAGTCAGTGCCCTGGGGTCAGAGGTGCCCATCCGCTCTGCATGGTATTTCAATTGTCGGGAATGAGCAGGTAGCAGAGAAGTCAGAACCGGAGGCTCAAGCGTCTTCGGGGCGTTCCAGCGTCCTGGCATCTAGTCTTGGGGAGCGCCATGAGTTTTTGGACTCCGTGGAGGGCAGGTCCATTCACAGAGCCTTGGAGAAGGAAGTGTTTTCAGGGGACAGTCGGACTACAGAGAGGACCCAGAAGGAGAACAGAGGATTACCCTGTGCCCTGCAGCCGGCGGTTCGTTAAAGAGAGGGAAGGCACAGAAGGGCCTGCTCAGGGGCTGGGCCTGGAGCCGGAGGGAGATTTGTTTAACCCGACGGGCAGTGGGAGAGCAGTTTATGCTGATGGGAGCCTCGCTGTAGTGACGGGCGTGAGGTAGGGCTGGGGCAGTAGAGGGGCATTGAAGTGGACGGGGACCAGCAGGTTGCTGGAGCTTCCTGTCTCTTCCTGAAGTGGGCATGAGGTGGACTGGCCTGTGAGAGTCCCAGCAGTCCCGCTGAGGTTTGTGGTGTGAACTTGGAGCCAGGCTGGGCGGCAGGCTTCTGTCTGCCACGCTCAGGTGCTTCCCGGCAGACACAGTCGCTGGGGAATGGGGGTTCGCCCGGGCAGGTTTGCCAGGGGAGCGCGGTGGAGGGAGGGAGGCGGGGATGTGACACTTGGCTCAGTGGAAGGAAAAGCAGGCTGTTGGGGGCTCCAGGACAGGCCTTTCTTGGGTCTGGGTTTTAAAATTGGAGTATGAACCATGTTTCTCTTCAGGCTGTAGAAATACTAGGGGGTTATTGTTTTGTTTATTTTCCTCCCTGTGTTCTGCTGTGAGCTTTCACTGCTGATGGAATTTGCAGGGGAACGCATCATAACTGTATTGTTTAGTGGCAGGTCTGAGACTCAGTTTCCATTCCTCCGCCTTCATCTGAGACGGCTCAGGGCAGGCCTGAAAGATGCTCCTGCTTCAGTGAGTGGGTTGGGGGGCTCTGTGGACTGTGGGGTCTGGTGTCCATCAGTGAGTGGGTTGGGGGGCTCTGTGGACTGTGG